ATCTAATGCTTCTGATAACAAAGCGAAGCTCCGTGGCTTAAAGGATAAAACAAATGGCGAAGAGTACGTTCTTTTTCTTAACACAGATCTGTGATGGTTGGAAAGAAAAGAACTTTTTCTCAAATGGTTGATTTTTGAAAATCAAGTCACAAGGGAATTTCATCTCAACTATGAACTAAAGATAAACTTATTGCAGGGCTCATATTGCTCGACAACAAAAGGGGAAATTCTAGATAAGGGCAAGGAACTCTCTGGGGCTACAATGTCTTTCATTTATCTTTCCACCCGTTTCATAGACTGAACATTATATTTTATCAACGAACAGAAAAAAAGGACATTGAGAAAGGAAATGGGAGCACAGAGAAGTTAAAAGCAGGAACCGCAATCTTCCTTATAGAACTTGAAAAGAGAAGATCAATCAAGGTCCTTCTTTACCTCCAGATTACATATATTTTCCCTTACGGTTCCATAATGAAATACCAATTGGTATAACTTTGCAGGTTTTTGGAAAGAGCACCATGATTGGACTGGCTGCCACTTTCTTCGCTGGTGTTTGCTTCTCCCTCTTCTCGCCTGCATTCAACTTGGCGACAAATGATCAATGGAACACCTTGCAGAAAGGGGTTCCAAAGTTGATAGTATACACTGCATTTTTCTACTTCTCAGTCTCTTGTTTTGTGATTGCCCTGGTTTTAAACATCGGCTTTCTTTACCGGCCTGTACTGGACTCACCGAGATCATCATTGAAGGCTTACCTGAATGACTGGAATGGCAGAGGTTGGGCCTTTTTGGCTGGTCTCCTCTGTGGTTTTGGAAATGGCCTGCAGTTTATGGGAGGCCAAGCCGCAGGGTACGCAGCGGCTGATGCTGTTCAGGTTAGTAGTTTTATGTTGTGACAAACTTTATAATCATTTTTCTTGTATGAAATCCTTTGTTTGACTTTGACATGTTTTCACTTTTGCTGGTGGATATCAGGCACTGCCCCTTGTGAGCACTTTTTGGGGCATTATGTTGTTTGGGGAATACAGGAGATCCTCAAGAAGAACATATGTGTTGCTTGCGGGCATGCTGTCAATGTTTATTGCAGCTGTTGGGGTTCTCATGGCATCATCAGGACACAGAAAGTGACCTTTTGTATACAATCTTTTTCTTTATAAAACTAGCTGGGCCAAGTTGTTCTGCATAACATTGGCTGTTGTTTCCACATAAAGGTTTGTATTTAAGAAATTGAAAATGTAGTAGCCCTTCATGAAATTGTAAGTATAGAATTTAACTAGCTTTTCTTAGGAAAAAAAAAAGAAGGAAAGAGCAATAACAAGAAAAAAAGAAAGAGATAAGCAAAGAGAAATTGATGGGATTAGAGGGATTTGCAAGCTTGGAACTGCTAGTGAATTTTAAATGTCATAATTTAGTAGTTCGTGCTTACACATCTTTCAGATTTGTCTCGTTGCAGTGTTTTGTTCCTAGTGCAAAGATAACTATTTGTTTGTTATTAGCTTGTGTTGAATTTTGAGCTCTAACAGTGAAAATTTATGGAATTATAAAAGAAATAAGTATGAACTCATTAGCCCTCCAAAAATAAAAAAGAAAAAAAAGATAACTACTTGTTTGTTATTAGCTTGTGTTGAATTTTGAGCTCTAACAGTGAAAATTTATGGAATTGTAAAAGAAATAAGTATGAACTCATTAGCCCTCCAAAAATAAAAAAGAAAAAAAAAGACCATGCATTCATATTCATATAAGAGCTTTTTGGTTCTTGCTAATAAGATTAGAAATAATTGGAAATGACATAGTTATCTTTTTTATTTGTTAGTAGTTTCTTCTGCACGTGCGCCATCATATAAATAAATATAAACAATCACTTGGACTTTGAAAAAAAGTATTGGATCATCTCTATCTTCTTTGCTTTATACCACATAAGTTACATCTTTGTATTATAACAGTAGAAGTTTACTGCCAAACTGCCAAAGAAGCAAACCCAGTAAAGTATTGGGGTACGGGTACCTATTTAAAAAGTTCTTAATGATAACATATCAAACTTTACTGTGAGGTTATGGATTAGGATCTGGAAATCAGACTTTCATTGAAACCTCGCTCCCAAACAATGAAGATAAGAATGGGAACCGAGGAAGCACCAAAATTTATTGAGACACAAAAGATAAGACACTCAGTCACCGGGAATAGATCTCGACAGAATTTCACCTCGCTCCCAAACAATGAAGATAAGAATGGGAACCGAGGAAGCACCCAAATTTATTGAGACACAAAAGATAAGACACTCAGTCACCGGGAATAGATCTCGACAGAATTTCACCTCTTATCCAAGACAAATAGAGGCCTCCAAAATGTACTTTTGCAAAAATTGGAAGGGCAATCAGGTAGCCTTTTTTCTTTAATAATTTTATGGGATGCACTTGTGATGTTACCTAGTCATGCTTTTCATCCAATGGCTGAGAGATCCAATTTGCCCTCCAAGTGATGGAAGGAGAAAGAAGTCGCTCTGTCTTCCAACCAGCTGATTTCAGCTGCAAAATAATGAAGGAACGAGATCTAGTTGTCATGATCTTTTTTTTTTTTCTAAACATCATAATAATTGTAGCTCTCAAAAACCACAAAACAAAAAGATGTTGCTTTTCCATATGTTTAGCTTCTCTGAGTTTGGCCACCAGCAGATACACCTTCAAAGGGATACTTGCACCTCCATTTTAATGGAGTATATCACTTCTCTTGTTCAATAATTCGTGGAAGTAGATACACTCATCATCTTGGTATACGAACCATTGTATCATGAAGTGATTTTCATGGCAACACCAGGAGGTAACTAGATTCTCCTATTACTGAAGGTATCAATATATGTAAATTTTCTTTATTGGCTATGAAACAAGCTTTCATGGTGGAGAAAGTTGAAGAAAACACTAAAATTCATTTCTTTTATGGTCATCTGATATTTTATATCCTAGCCAACCAAGTCGTCAAGAATTTGTAGAGTTAATTCAAGCGGCATTTTGCATGTTGAGAGTGTAAATTAGCAACCAAGTCAAGGTTCAGTACATAATCGAAATACCTTCTGAATAAAAACTTCATAATGCTTATCCATCCATGATAGGCTCTCTGAATGTAAAGCTTTGCTTCCATTCATGAAGTTCCCCAGAACAAGTGCATGAATATACGACTGTAGGACATCTGTAGCTGTTGCATCTTTATGCATGATCACATTGATGATATGCTTTCTCTTGATTAATAAGTACTTAGCTAAAAAGAACCGAAGAAAGATAAGTAAAATGGAGTAAAAAGTTCAAATATTCATTGTCTGGAAAGAACCGAATACCTTTCTTATTTGAAGATCTAGCAGAATGCAAAAGGTCCATCCTGTTTGAGAATGTTTCACATCATCAATTTTTTAACATTACTTTAATTGGTAAAGTGGTTCAGGTTGTTGAACATTTTTCATTTCTTCATATCATTCATCGTTTTTGAGATAATTCATATCATGCATCATGTATCAATATATCTTTAGTTTCATAAACTATTAGCATAAATCAGATAGCATGAGAGAAAGAACTCAATTCCCTCGCTTTCCGCTAAATGTATCTTTCTTTCTTCTCGCCATTTCATCTTTAGTTTGTTTTAAGATTTGGCATTTCTGCTATCCAGCTAAAGTTCCAAGCTTGTGTCCAAGTTTAAGTGTTCTATCTTGTGGTTATCGGCTTGTGTACTACTTGTATTAGGATAAGCTTCTTCAGGAAAGGTTAATGTGTTAATGAAGAATTTGGATGATTTTCTGCTCCAAAGTTTATCTTCTCTTTTCTGTCTAATGCGAACCTAGGCTATAGAAATACAGACTAGCAGTTAATCAAGATGGCTCTGAAGCCAATTATTGCTAAAATGCCATTAGAAACGAACATGACAGCTTTTGAAAGGCGTGTCACCCTTAGCCTTATGGGAATCCAGATGTAAGTTTATAAAGTGAATCAAGAAGTTAAAAACTCACATTTCCACGTGATCAAGTGAAGAAACCCTTGAACCTAACTGTATGTTTTTTATCAGTAACTTAGCATTCTTTGACTTCCATAAAGTTGCCCACAAGGGTAAAACATGCTCCATATAAGACACCTGTTCAGGGGAGAGAACTGGCAATATATTCAGGAATAGGTATTAAGAACTGATTTCAACCAATAATGAAAAGATAAGTGCATTAGAAAGTAGTTAAACAGAAATCCTTAAAGCAAGACCCTTATTATCCTTATAGATCTGTCATAGTAGGTAAAGCAACCAAGCACAACAACTTAGTGAACAAACAAGCTTTGGTCTTGGTTTTTCTTTTGTATTTTGTATTTATGTGGTGGAGTGTAAGAATATTAAGCAAGGCAAGTGCCACTCCTTTCAGTAATAGACAAATAAACTCAAAGGAAACATAGGTGGACCAAGATTGACTATTGGAGTTGCCAATTTTTTGTGGAACAGTTTAAATCAGGATCTTAAATTAGAAGCATATACATGCAGAAAAAAAAATTATAAACACAAACAACCAGTTGAAGAAATCAGTGCTAGTTCTTACATAAATAACAATCATAATTGAGAGTATTACCTCGACCAGTCTCTATAAAATGTTTCAGAAGGATACAGATCCTCTCAAAGTTTAATGAAGTCAACACAAGACAGCGAACAGCTCTGTAGTTAGCTACAAACAAAAGAAACAAGCATCAAAATGAAGGTTCTTATGAAAGTATATCACTCTATTCTTCTGTTAGGATAACTCCAGACACCAGAAGGTGATATCTCTTCCCAACTTGAGGTTGGCACCGCCTATACTCTTTACAAAAACTAATCTTTACCTTGTGCACAGTATGAAAAAAAGAAGAGAGAATTTTGTAAGATCTAATACAAAGTCATATAGCAGAATCCGTATTCAACTGTCAAATTCCTTGAAGCTACAATTGTAGATATCATCTCCAATAAAAGAAAAGGAATATCTCAGCAGAACTTACCATACATGTGAAAGATGGTGAGAGAAAGAAACGAAAACCAAATGGCTAGGGGGTTTCCCATTGTAACATGAGCAAGAAGCATTCCAATTGCCATGCCAATCATTGTCGCCATTGTCTCTTGACTTCCTTCCTTTTAGCATTTTTTTTAATAGTCAATGGTCAATACCACTTGCTTAAGTACAAATTTTCATGGTTCTGATGTAGCATTCAGAATGACTCAACTAATACCTTGGCAGATATATCAGCTGCATTATCCTGGAGAGCAAAGTGCTGAGTCAAAGCAGCTCTAGTTGCTCCACTTGCAACACCAGCTAATTGGAATAATAACGTAGAAAATAACTGAATTAGAAGTATGGATCAATACTGGTTATTGCATGCTTAACACTACTAAATCAAATGGTCAGGAAAGTTCCCATCACTGATGACTAGAAAATCTGTGTACTTTATTTTTTTTCTTTAAAAAATAACTTTGAATGTTAATCTACTACAAGGTATCGGCCACTCATGGTAGGTTTCATATCTAATAGTTGAGGAATATAGGACTTACTAAATGACCTTGATAAGCTCCCTAAGCAAACGACAAGAATAAACACTGATGGAAACAAAGGAGAAAGAAGGTCCATTAGCATTCCTGCAACCAATTAACAACCATTCTAGTCAATTTAACTTACTGAGTAGTAAAACATAAGTGTGAGAAGGATGTAAAACCAATTAATAACCTTTCCAGTCAATTTAACTTACTGAATTGCAAAACATAACGAGTGTGTGAAAGATATAAATCTAATTAACAAACTTTCTAGTCAATTTAACTTACCAGAGTTGCAAACATAACAAGTATAGGCAATATATAAATCCAATTAACAGCCTATCTAGTCAATGTAACTCACTGAGTGGCAAGCATAAGTTTAGGACATAAAAATAAGTGGAAAGGAAAAACGGAAACAGAATGCCAACTTGTGGACTGTGATAGCATTTGGATGTAAAAAAATAAAGAACCCCATCATTTGGAGAAAATTTTGTTGCCATGTTTACCTTAATATAGCATATCTAGTTAGAAAAGGTTGTTAGGAGACAATTTGTGCCAAAGTGGTAGTATATAGATAGATTAAAGAAGTAAGTACATGGAGATTTTTCTTTTTCTTTTCCTCTGCATGAGTATTTCCCTTTGATTTTTAGACAAGAGAGACAGAATAGGGTTTGAGAAAATATATTGAGAAAATATATTGAGAATACAAATCATGTTTGCTACTTTACCCAGATCATTCATAAGGTCAGCAACCAAGCGCCACATTTTAGCATTACTATCCAGATTTGAGCCCTGAGGTATAAAAGAAATGCTATTGGGTTAAAGTCTGGTAATGAAGCTGGTAACACCAACCAAGAAAATAAGAGAATGCTATTCAACAAACCCTATCAGCATAAGGATGTTCGACGCCATGACTGGGTTTTAATAAATCACTTTAAAACTAACTATCTTTTAGAAATTCTATGTTTCAACATTATTGAAGATTAAAAGCTTCATTCTGCAACCAAGAGACTGATAGTGCATAAAATACACAAGAAAGTTTAGGAAAGCAAACCTGATAGCAAGTGAATAAAACACCTCCCAGCATTCCAGTTAAATCCCTCAAGAACCACTGCATTACAACAAGAAATTATGACCATGACATAGTTCTGATAACTAGTTCTCTCAACCCTCAACAACTGTTAGGAAACAAATGCAACAAAATAAAACCGTAGTAAAGGCAAGTCTTCTGTTCTGTTTTCTCAAGAATCTGTGATAAACATGAACCTACCTGAAATGTGGCACCAATAACAGTGGCAGATTTCTCTCCAACCCCAATGGCACTCAAGAGAGCCTAGAAGCAGTTAAAAGCACATGGCAACCAATGGGATCAAACATTAAGAGATTTTCTGTCACTGATTTTAAAAACTTAGATTCCAGTAAATTTTGACATTACTTGAGTTGAAAGCATAGTCCTTATGTATGTTGAGAGCCCCTACAAACACAATAAAGCAGCGAATGTGGGATCAATCAGAGCTGCTAGTATAAATATGTCTTTGTAACTATTTCTCACCTTATGTCATTTACCTGCAAAGTATCCCATACTTGAAAAGAGACATAATCCGAAGTCACACTGCTAGGAAAACCCTGCATTCATCTTACTTGGTCATATATAATTATAGTAATTCAACAGAAAAAAAAAAAAAAAACTAATTGAGATGAAGAAGCTTAAAAGTTGCTAAATGATCATTGTTCTCATCAAAACTACAACATTCAATTGGCTCTTTTTTTTTTCAAATATTCCGCTTCGTGGACTGTATTGATTTTTAATTTTTAGGTTAAATAATACCAAATTGGAGTAAAAGTCATTTGACTTGCGAAACCAGGAAAGAAAAGGTTTTGGACCAAAACTCAAGTAATTCAATCCAGACGATTTCTTCAAATACAAAAACATTTCGATACTTACGAAATCGAAAAGAAAAAAGAAGGAAATTGAAAGAAAGACTTACCTCGGGTACAAATGCTTGAAGAACTCGCCTCCAGACATGGCCGAAACGATTAGCAGATCTGCGTATTGAAAAGGAGAAGAAAAACAAAATAAGAAGAGAAGAAGAAAAGAAGAAAAGAGAGGCAAGCCCAAATCTAAAGGTAGAAAAGAAAGAAAATCAAACCTGTATACAGAGAGAGAAGGAGAGGCAGAAATAGTGGCAGTTTTGAAGAGCTGAGTGGAAGGAGATCCACTCCATTCTTCCAATATCGTTACACCTTCATTGCCATTCTCTCTTGTCTCCATCTCCGCACACCTTTAGTTCCCTTCGGCGGACGACGGAGTGTACTGTTTTGTTGCAGCAGTCGATTTCTTTGTCGTTTCAGTCGTGGAAACAAAGTATCTGCAACGGGTTACGTGGAATTATATGATTGGTTAACTTGACTTGACTTCGTGTTTGTAGAAACTAAGAAGAAGACCAAGAGAGCATATTGAAGAAATACATGGCATAAACAAGTGGTTAATGTGATGTGTTGCCAAAAAGAAAATATTAAATCGCTAGAAGGAGGGCTTGAACCTCCGACCTTGTGGTTAACAGCCACACGCTCTAACCAACTGAGCTATTCCAGCTTGTTGAGTTATATGAAGTATTAATTACATATATTGAGCTATTATAATTGTGAAACGCGCAATCCAGCGACGCAGAGATCAGAAGAGGGCCGAGGATGAACCAGTGATGATGATGATCGAGAATGTGGAGAAAAACATTCTCAATTTCACAGAGGCCTTTCTCCTCCTCAGCATCTGAGGTTCCATCTCTGTACTCTTTCCTCCGACCTTCTCTTTTTGCCTTGAAACCGAACCCTGTATCTCAAAAACCCGAACACCCACCCGGCCAACAAACCCTAACTCCACAAGAAAAGGTTACTTTACAATCCACCCTCCACAAATCCCTT